ATATATATATATATATATATATATATATATATATATATATAACTTTGTCCGTGGCAAGCAAAACAGTCCGTCCTGGGCGGTCCTCGACGGACGTGAATTGGTGATAGTGTGTGTTAGCACAATTATACTGAGTCGTCCGATTGTTCAACCACTTTTGGTGGTCAAGTCCCCATCGGATGCTAACTAACCACACAAAACTCAGGAACTCTGTTCGACATAGGAAATAAGCAAGATGAAGTCCAAAACGAGCAGATGTGTAAATTGAACGGAACACGGTAAGAATTTTTGAACGAGAGTGTTGAGACTGATAGCAGTTTTGGGCCATATCTACCAAAGTTTTGAGTTATAAATAGTACCTTCCCTCCTTGTAACCCGACTGGGGAGCCCAGCTGCCTCGACAGTATATTCTTGCCGCTGTTGGTTCACGTTCTTTCCTCAGGTTGTCGCAGTGTGGACTGCTCACATTATGATCGAGGTTAATCCTTATGCTGAGTATCAAACCTAATCGTGAAAGATGATAAAATCATCATGACTTTGTTAGCTCCTCCTGAACTTCGTTTCTTAGCACATCCATATTTGATGGTCTCCTTCAACAGGGGAAAACCCGTGAGTTCCAACCGAAGGGGGATCTTTTACTGGAATGTCCCTATTTTAGGGGAGTGGATCAAACTACCGAAACACATAAATAACCCGTTCGAAATATTATCTCCTCACGATGATGAGGAGATACGTATGTTGCTGGGGGCGAAGATGTCCGAAAGCTCATTGATTTATGCTGAACTTTGCCTTTGATCCCAACAGCGGTCTGGATCCTTTTTTTTAATTCCATGCCATCCGTTAGCTGTTGACACAATTATGAACATAAATTTGATGTAGTGTATCGGTTCGTCATCATATTCTTTTCAATTGGACGTAGCCCAAGGGGAACTAGCTATCACTTTGTAGTCATGTTGCTAAGTCAGTTTCTCGATCTGAATTGGAGCAACTTAAATTGTTCATAGCTTGATAGCTAGCAAAGCATCCTGAGCTTGCCATACTTAGACAAGAATTAACTGTTGTCCCGAGGAGGTTCACTGTGTGACACTGTGTGAAAAACCATTCTTCCCGAGGGAGTAGGAATGCTTGTGTTTTAAAATGTCTCCATGGAAATGGGTCGATGTGTTCCTTTTCAAAGGAGGAGGTCCGTATTGGAAGTAATTTACCGGCGAATCACTGTATTCATTTTTGTAGAATTCCAAGTTACTCACTCGCTTCCATCCCACGCCACTTTCTTCCTGTGTACTTCTCACTTAATCTGTGGGACTTATTCTTGCCAGTACCCACCGCCAGCCAGTTTTGTACACTCGTTTAGACAACAGAATCTTAATGAAATTGAGTCTTTCTAGTTTGAACAAGAGCGATTTTTTAGTAGGAAGTGGTTAACGCAACAGCCCTTCATACTGGTACTGAAAGACCTGTATATTGTAAGAGCGTCCTGTGTCATGTACTGATTGTTGAGTGTTGGCTACTAATATCCCATATTAGAACTGATCGCAGTGATCCCGCCACACAACAATCCCACCCTAAATGCCATTGCAAGCCTGTGGAGCCCATTTCAGGAATTTCTAGTCGTGAAGGTTGACTCTTCAGAGTAATGAGATCCCATTTCCTCTGTTCTGTCATTCACCGGTGAACTATGTTTGGTTGCTGAAATTCTGGTCGCCACATCCTCTGGCCATTGGCGATTGAGGGTGAATGCGGTAGCTTTGATGCACGAGCGCTACTGACTGCGCGATTGGGCTATTTCTGCCAATGTCATTAACCACCGGTGATTTGAGTCCCGGGATCTCCATCCAGGGAGGCAGCACTAAACAGAATAGCATGCCAAGTTGCTATCCAAACAGGCGTGTGAAGCTTTGAGAGGCGACACCTCACAATGTCGGAAAACTGGCAGTCAATCGGAAGGATTGAATCTGAATACAACCCTGACCATGAGGACTTACACAGTATGCGGGCGCGTGCACTTTGGCAGGATCGGCTTTGTTGGTCACCTGTGTAGTTACCGGTACATTTGATGAACGCAACCTTCTAGAACCCGGGTAACTTTGTTTCACCCGACTGCGTCATCTTAAAGATGACTACATCGGATACTACCAGCTCAACCATTAATACTTCAACAGTGGCCCCCGGTAACACGCTGAAGGAATTGACGGGTGATGCGAGTGCCTCGGTGATAAACAGGCAAATGGTGCCGGTGCCCATTGTTATGTCATCAATTTTAAGCCCGGATGTTTGCTTGCTGTAGTCCTCTGCGCTTATTACGCGGTCATATTCCCTCGAATTTACACTGGTGCAAGGGGCCTGCTCACAGCACCTTATTTGGCTCGACGCAATCCGTTTGAGGCTTCCTACAGTGTGCAGGTGTCTAGTGGTTCGACCAGTGTTAGCCGCCATATCCGTTTCCGATGCCAGCCGCTCACGCCAAGAAGCAGGATGTTATCCGCCAACTCTAGGCAGGCGAGGTCTCTTCCGAGAAAGGACTCGATTTCCTTAATCAGTTCGATTACGCAATTAAAAAAAAGAACAGACAGGAAAAGGCAACTCTGTCGGACACCACTTCAGATAGATGAAATTCTCCGTAGCTCTCTATGCGCCCATGGAATGTCGTGAGCCCACAAGTGAAGGTGATTAGGCAGCGCCACTAAACACAATAGACTGAATCGAAAGCTACCTGTGAATCCAGGAAGCTGGTGTGGCTAGTTATTTGCAAGGATAATGATGCGGTAATGAGGTAAATGCGAGAATCTGTAAGGGTTAGACCGCATTCGCTAAGGTGAGACACATGGCATTAAAGCAGTATATCCTTCAACCTCAAGGGACGTGTGTATCCGGCTAAATTACGCACTGTTTTGTTGTATGGCTGTGAAACATCACCTGTTCTAGCAACGGATCTGAGACCTCTCAGAACTGTAGCTCGTTTAGGTTGGTACCGACGAATCCTTGAACGAGGCGGCTAGAAAGCCAGTGTTCGATCGTGCAATGAAAACTTCTATTGAAGAATGCGTCTAACACCAGAAGCTGCGTCAGGCTATGCATTGAGCATGTCGAATCATCTTTTACCGAGGGGAATACTGTTTTCCGTGCCCAATTCAGAGAGGTGGCTAACTTCTGACCTGGCAGAGGGGCATGAAGGAGATTATGAAACTTCTGGGTGTTATTGGTGCTACTTGCCTTCCAGAACAGTAACCGGTTGGTCCCCATTGCGCCTGATTGGACACGCCTGAATAATGGTATCTTTAGGGTCTTGAATAATGTGATTAGTTCACCCGGCATCTCAAACAACGCGCTCGTAGTTGTCCGGCCTTTTTCGGCCAATTGACTCTCCTTTTGCGAGCCCCCGAAACGAGCTTTGAAGGTAGTAGGATGACCGTTAGCGGAGCCCTCTGTGAATACCCGCTTATGACTTGAAAAATTTCAAGGGGTAATAATACTGTGCGACTCGAAAGTAAAGCTACGTGAATGACATCTCTGGGCTGTCTGATTGTCAACATAGTGATAAAATAGACTATTTTGTAAAATCCAAAAACTCACGGCTATTCTGCGTCCTCTTCGCAGATTCCTGTTGTTGGATAACCTATTGAAAACAAGCCTTGTTCACGTAACCAAGCTGTTTTGAGTTTATGCTTGGTCTTATCCAGCCGTTAATTTTTCCCGCCAGATGCCAATTCATCCATCCACTACTGTCCTTTCCCCATGCATTCAGTTCTCTGATTTCTTTTTCCCATAGCTCCCCTACCACCCACTGGCCGTGTATCATGTATCTGGTGAATACGCTATGCTCATGCATGCTGCCAAAGCTGGTGCAGTGGACCTGAAGCGAGCTGGTCTGGAATTAATGACTTGTTTCCGAAGGGCTGGTGAGTAAGCGTGTCACGTGTTCAGCACAGATTGTCTTCATATCCCCCTGCTTTCTACACTCCAGTTGGTGGGGTTGTCTTTTATCTGCATCCACACACAAAATATGGGCAACTCCATGTAACCTAACAAAAATATCCGTCTTAGCCAGTGACTTATAGGCGCTCCATTATTTTCCCCAGCGAATCGAAGTTCTCTTTCAGATGGCTGTAACCTCCCTGCGCGAGACGCTCGGGGTGGCGCAGACCATTAACATTTAGGCCTTTGGTTCCAATCCGTCGGGATCGCCTCGATTATTCCCACTTAGGCTTAGGAGTCCTAAGAACATTCCTACCCTCTTCCCATGTTGTTTCCTGTGGGTCGCGTGGCAGCTGTTTGCGAAATATGTGCCACGCTTGAGTGTGAAGTAGCATGCTAGTTTGGACCACATGAAGTGATCCCTATTTCTCTTGAAACGGTCAATTCCCTTGGTCTACTTTTGGATACTTGCTGAGTTACATTGGCCAGCTACACTGTCGAATGTCCGGTGAAGAAGCCTCATCGAAGAGACATCGTTTCGAGACATGTTCTTTTTTCATAACGTTTCCTTTCTTGGAAATCCCCATTTTCTCGGAGGGTTGGCTTTCTTTCTAATCACAGACATCGTGGAACTGCCCCATGTCATCGACCCAGCTTAATTGGTGAACTATCAATTCAAAGAGTTTGCTAGTGCCTTGAAGAGAGGCAAGAATTTTTCAAGGATACTTTTGCTTGCCACATTGTCCGATGACCAACCTACTCAAAGATAGGGTTCATGTCAGAAGACGATTATCGTTTGTTGAAATCAGTATGTCTGCTCCAGGACCTGTCGGGGAACGAATGTATGATCGATGGATCCTCTCGCAGAACGGAATGAGGCCAACTAACGATTCCACTCTCTCATAGAGTGACTACCTCTGATGTAGCTTTCTAACACCAATTACACGTTAGCTAATCCCAACTTGACCTGATCCACACACCTTTTTACCGTTTCAGGTGCCTCTGTTATTATCACGTATTTGACACCTCATCTGCTGGAGTGGGATCTTTCAGAATCTTGTCTCTGATCGTTCGGCTCGAGGATAGCCCCGACCAACTTGTTTCTATCTGTCATCTATTTTCTGATCACCCTACCTTATGTTTCGAAATAAACTCTAGTGACTGATGTTCCTCCCTTTGATTTGATTTTCAGTAATCCAAACATGTGTGGGTTTGACAAGCGTTAGGCAGAAGACCCTGAAATTCGTTCGGCTATTCTTCCTGTCTGTCCCTGCTGGGTTTTGCATTTCAGCGGGACCTGTTGTCTATTTCGAATAGTCTGTTTTGATACCAAACTCGCGCTGTAGTGAAATGTCGTCGGAATCATTCAAGCCACGGAACATTGAATAACATGGCGCAAAAAGTGACGGTGTTTTCTATCCTCGGACTTCTTGTTCGTCAGCTACCTCATCCACTTAATCCGGAATCCCAAGTTCTTGATTATTCCGTCTGAGCACTTCAGTCGGTGTGTCTGTTGGTTCATTGCGTTTTAGGATGCCTAGGCGGAGCGAGATGGCTCAGTTGTTAGAGCGCGAATTTACTGATCGGAAGGTCCGTGTTTCGAACCTGACCTCGGCCTCTTGAATTTCCTTTTTAGACTTGGGCAACCTGGCACTATCCAAGCCCTCATGCTTCCTTCTGGTCGCATGGCAGTTAGGCAGTTAGGTGGCTTGTGTGCACCGCGATTTGGAGCCACACACACACCAAAAGTATAAGCGAAAACAGTTTTATCGACAATCAGATTGTGGATTCTGGATGTATTCCAAACCTTTCGACGAAATACGAAGATCAGAAGGAGATGTGCTCTCTTTTGGGTAGCAGATTGAAAGCGGTTCGAGCTCATGTCAGCGGATTCTTAATATTAGACCTTTCCAAACAGCCGTGGGTTAGCAAACTTTCAGACTTGTCAAGTGGTAGCTGGGGAGGGGGTGAATAAAAAACAAAGTTTTGAGGGCTAAAACGATTGTTGGATTGCTTGAAATAATATGAGCCTATTTATCATTCTTGCACATCCGTGTAGACGTGTGCGAGAGCCAGTACCTGAGTTACGGCATGAGATGGGTCGCACCATTTTCATGGTCAGTACTGACTGCTTCGTCATATTCGAATACTGTCAAAAGTTATATGATGATACTTGAAACCGTGAGTTCCGATTCAGAATGTCCAATTGGTTTTCCGGGATTTTTTATCACTTCCTCATGTGTGAAAATAAGACGAAGTGAGTTCTTTTTTCTCGATGGGGCCGGGCGAAAGTTTGCCTCCAAGGACTGGGCAGTTCTCAGTGCTTTGCCCTGCGCTAGCACAACTAAATCAAACTTCCACTGTGAACAATCGACAGATCCTGTTACCCTCGAAGGTTTCATCGTGCCAAACTGCTTACCGATTGTAGTTCGGAAGTGCTCTAGCCGGTCATTCTAACATCGGATTGACTTGTCTCCATTCATATGGTCCTAATTAACTTGAGCGGCTCGGTAATGGGACCATCAACTAATTTAAAGAGAGATGACGCACGAAGTGTGATACAATAACCATGGCTGGAATTGGTATCAGTATTTTCGACTTGTTATGGACGTAGATAGCTTTATTGCATCTTGTGTTGGATGAGAGCTGCTCTGTAGAACACCGGATCTTGTATTCCAGGCGCTCGGCCTCCACCACTTTATAAACAACTGAATTAACACGGAAGCTCAAATGGGTCCTAACGCATGTATCGCAGTTTGTTTCCTCTTCCATGCAAAGTCTTGTATCGATTTTGATTTCAAAAGACTAAACAGCCTAGGATAACAGTAATCGCGGGATTGTTTTCAACCCTGCTATAAACTCCCCTCCCTTTGACGTGACCAACCACAAAATCATACGCACCTACGTGTTGTATATACTCTTCCTACTTACAACTTGGAAGTAGTTTGTTGCCAATGCGATAACTGTGGAGCTAATCTGACGCTAGGCTTATGTAAGCGTGGTGCACATGGGAGAAGTCGCTTGTATGAACCATAGAGTACAGATACCGTCGTAATAAGCTTATGGAAGGGATACTCGTATTACAGTTGACTCAGCGGTAGCTTTGACGATTCACAATGATACATGTATGATGCTCGACGGATGTTGATGAGAACTTACTGTTGGTACACCGCCGATTGGTCCTCTTTGAAGGTGAATCTCATTTTTCGCGATTAGGATTCATGGATGTTATTTGGTACGGCTTGATATATAAAAGCCTTACTCCTAGTCTAGTTCATACGGGGCGCACGAATACGACGTGATGACCTTCGAAGGGCTCCGGAATCCTATATATAATCATATGACAGTTCTCTGGAACCATTTCATTTTCCTTGACACTTTGTCCCTAGCCTTATGCTGTTTGTTTCTACTTTGATTGTCAAATATGAAAAAGAGAACTATAGCTTGAGGTGCTATAAAGTCCCAACGTTGTGGAAGTAGCTTCTTGTGCTTTCTTTGTCTCTTCTCGTACCAGATCCTCCAATTTGATTCTTCTGCGTGTAACGCATGACCATTAGGTAGCCGGTTTTCCCGAACCAGAAAGTGATACGATTTCCCCGGAGGCCTCCGTTCGAAGTCATAGTGCACGAATATTCATGAAATAGCTTAATAATGTACGAGGCTGGACTATCTGGCGAACTGTGGCACATTTTCTCCTTGAAACAGACGGCCTTCGTCTATGAATGTCACATTGAAGACAGTATTTCTGATATGGTCTCACGCTGTAGTTTCCTGTTAGGCGTTGTGTCAGCAGATATCACTGATAAGTTTTGCAAAACACACATGCCCAATTCAACCTGTCATATTTAATCTGAAATGAAAGTTCTTCTCGACTGATTCGGCCACAACTAGAATGAAGCCAAGTTTGTTCACAAAGGCTTCCTCTGTGTTTAACCCGTCGGTGGCACTTAGAGCTATCGAAAAAGTGACCACCTTGACGATGCCTATTTGGACGTCGTTGTGGAAACTTTTGACGGGCATCCACTGGGCATTTTATTTAATCATTCCATTCAATTGCACCCAATCAAGATGATTGAAAAGCAAAACGATAGGCTGTGACGAAGTGAAGTACACTCTGAGCAGGTTATCTGAGAAATTCAGCAACGATAACTTATTCTAAGGAAACTCCGTCACCGTGTTGCACAGCGATCCCAAACTTTAGTCCTTCCATCGTTTGATGCTCCAAATCCTTCGACGATCGGTTGCAAGATGTTGAACTCGTTTTTCTTTGGCCCCGCCTTCCTTTTTACGTCTGTCTAACTAGTCAGAAAACTTAGGTCTACAAAGTATTAACTAGTTTCCCCGGGGTCACCCCTCTATGAGCTTATGCTAGAAATAAAGTAGTCAGTGCAAGCATATTACTTTTTTATTGTCAGCTATTTCCATTCCGGCCGCAACTCGTCAGAAATTGCCAAGTCGAAGTGAATATATCTGGATTCAAGGGGGATATCTTTCTATAGGTCCTCGTTTTATTTTTAATGGATTGTGGATGGGTTCCTGTTGTGTTTTGTGTTGCTAGCTGAGTGATGTAGGAGCTTGATGCGATTTATTCTGTCACGTTGATAGTCTAGTTACGAGAGTGGGGAAACCTCAAGGAAGAAGACAAAGGACACCAGATGAAGATCGGCTATATTGCAGAGGAACCAACGGAAGAAAGAGTGCTACGGCTCAGTTAGCTGCAAAAGAGAGAAAATGAAATCTCAGTGAAATATTACACAAAGTAGAACTGTTCGTTAGGACCTGGCCGTCCTAACAGTTCCATCTCAAGTTTGCTCACTAGATCGGTAGCGGTTACAATGTACTAAGAATATCGCCCATCTCACATAATAATGCTCGCGATCAAGCTCAAAATACTGGACCATGGAAATCCAGCTGACAGTACAGGATCCGCATCAGTTGTATAACTTTCCTATTTAATAAATATGCTGACCACTTACTACACATTTGTTGATAACTGAAAGCTTTAGTAAAAGATCCTAGGTGAACCTGAATATCAGACTCCATCGTTGCTTGTGAGCTGCATGTCGGACGTTGTTCAAGCTTAGAACCTGACCAAGAAACGTCCACTTTGTCGCTCCAGCACTGACCGCAGGATCTCCAGTTTATCAGGCTTTAGTCGCTAGTTGCGGTTAAACCACTTGGATGATCCAAGACCCTGAACCTCTTGGTTCTGCACCATAGAGAACCCAGCCGTTGAAAGCAAATTAGCGGTCTGTTCATACCCCATACTCTTTCTGATTAAGGAGACCAGATGGTCCACTGTAATATGACTCGAAAATTCGTTCGAGTATGTGAAATGCCGGTCTTCTATCGTCGGCGCATGGTCAATTTATGTTGACAGTGTTCCTTCTGCGCGGAACACAGTTACAGTACAAAAGTTCCCATAAAAAGTTAATGGAATTGTTATCATTTTGTTTTAATTTTCCGATGGCTTGACGCTCATGAAGTTTATATATATATATATATATATATATATATATATATATATATTTATAT